CTTATTATTGAAATCTCATACGATTTTAGGTGTCGCATGATGCATTTTAGTCCAAATCAGAAACTGGCCACTTCCCCTGGGGTACCAGGAACATGTCCAGATGCGGAAAAATGTTGTCCTAGATGCTCAAAATGATAACCATTTGAGATGTCACATGAACAATTTAACATGATTCAAGCCGTTTCTAGACTCACGACCCATATTCACAGGAACATGTTCTGACAATATCTCCTTGACAGGTTAACCGATTTCAAAAATATTCAGTAGCGTTTTGGGACCACAATACCTTACATTTGGCAGTTGGTGTGCTTAATTCGGTCCCGAGATTTTAAAATTTTAAATAGAAATAAATTGTTCCATTTCTATTATTTTTTAAATTTGAAATTCTACTAAAAATATATTTCTCAACCGATTGGTTTTAGTTTTCTTACTAAAAAATGAGTATGGAACAAATAGCAAAAGTCTAAACAAGTTGAAAAAAATCCATTTTGATGAGGCGGGTACCTATCGCGTTGGGACAGAAGCATTTTTAAAACTTTTAATTTTGGGATACAAAAAATTCAAATATGGTTCGATTTTCTGTCAAAGCAAAATAATTCCAGTTTGTCGCACAGAGATAATTTTCCCCCTCTATCTAGGAACCGTTGCATATGACTTTACCATGGATTTAAGTCACACGAATGTCATATTACAGTGCTTTCTCGATTTTGTCGGCCGTAAAATATACTCTTTTTTTTCTTCTACAAACCTCACATAACCTTGATTACAACTAAGTGTTGGTAAAAAAAAAGACTTTTTAATACAAGCATTCATACAAAAAACGTTTCGTTTTGAATTCTCCAATTAGGTCCCTGATTCAAATATATCATCAGTTGTCTCGTCTTGACTTAGCTTGCAACTCATTCCGGTTGAATCTACTTGAGAAACAGAAACTAAATGCAACAATATGAGAAACTCAAAACCTGGTTAAAGATAATCAAGTTTAATGACCTCACCCGGAAGTTCCAAATATCGGATCCTGTGGCTTCAATTAAATACATCAATCAAATTGATGCGTTTCTAATTATTTATTTATTTAGTTTATTATACTTCATTTTACTAGTTGTCTTACTGAAAATTGACGGGGAAAAGCCAGAAGATCCATCAACAAACGGCAGCCCTAAGTATGCACCTTTAGAATTGATAAAACGATCCATAAAATATTGAAAAACATTCTTTAAAAAACATCCAAATGATGCATAAAACACCGCAGGAAATCTCATAAAAAGTGTGGATGATCCTTAAAACATATCAATATGATCCATATTTTATGTAAAATTTAGCAACACAATTGTAAAAATGTACCGCTAAATTTTTAAAGAATGAACATTGAAATTGCAAGAATTACCCATAAACATATTGAAAATGATCCATAAAACATTCAGCAATGAACCTTAAACTAATGAAAGTGATCCATAGAAAATCAAGCTTGCGCACCTAAAAATAGAAGGACGATGCATAAATAAGACATATATTGCTCATGTTTCGGACACTATTTTTTTTTTTTTTAATTTGATCCATTAATCTTGGAAAATTGCCCCATTACTGCGTAGCCAGTTTGGTTTACTGTTCTTCCCGTGTTTTTTTTATCAGAAGAGCCTTAACCTTGGAAAATTGCCCAATTACTGCGGAGCTACTTTGGTTTACTGTTCTTCCCGTGTTTTTTTTATCAGAAGAGCGGAGCAATAGGCGAACATCTAGAATAAGCATCTAAAACAAGCTTATAAAATATTCCCTAGGATGCTTCTTAACAATCCAAACACGATGCAACCGATAAAATGACTAACGAAAAATTGGTAATGTTTGCAAAATCATTTCTCAGCAATTTATCGATAGATTTAAAAACTATTTATACCAAATAAATTTTTGAAATCTTTAGTTTGAAGTGACGCCCATTTATTTGAAATTCGTCATTAAATAGCTGAGCAATGATTTTTCAAACATAACAGGTTTGCCGTTACACATTTGACCAGTGGAATCGTGCTCAGAGTGTTAAAAAGATTATTATAGAAGCTTTTTTTGAAAGGTAATTCTAGACGCTTACCCGTCCCTTTGCACTTCTAACTTAAGAACCACGGGTATGTCAGTAAATTTAAGTAACTACGCAGTAATGGAACATCTTTTCATGGTTTATGGAACAAAATCAAAAAGTGAGTGTCCAAAACATGAACAGTATATGTCTAATTTATCGATCATGCCTATATTTTTAAGAACGCAAACTTGATTTTCTATGGATCACTTTCATTAGTTTAAGGTTCATTGCTGAATGTTTTATGGATCATTTGCAATATGTGTATGGGTAATTCTTACAATTTCAATGCTAATTCTTTAGATATTTAGCGGTACATTTTTACAATTGTGTTGCTAAATTTTACTGAAAATATGGATTATATTCATATTTTTTATGGATCATTCACACATTTTAAGGGATTTTCACTGGGGTTTTATTGGATATTTTGGATGTTTTTTTAAGGAGCGTTTTTAAATGTGTTATGGATCATTTGGATGTTTTTTAAGGAGCGTTTTTAAATGTGTTATGGATCATTTAATGATTTTTTTATAATTAAAAGCATGTTTGCCTCAGCAAACACATGCCGACCTCAAGCAGGTGCAAACATCCCATATCTTTCACACAACATGTACATTAGACTGATGCACAATTTTAAATTTTCGTACCACAGCACTGTGGTCGGGGATGGAAAAATCACGAAATTAATTGAATTTTGTATAAACTAAGTGTCCTCAGAAGAAATGTTCACATAACTTTCGCCCACGATCCTGCAATTTCAAAAAATTATCATGGCCTACTATAGACTGTTTTCTATGGTTGCCCATTAAGAAAAATGATCCCATTAAGATAATGATTTACTAATAATGTTCAAAACAATTGCAAACATAGTGAATCTACTAAGTGGTGCTGGTAGTGTAGTGGTAAGCGTGATTTTCTGTCGCTTCAGAGGGCCTGGGTTCAATCCCAGTCGGTGCCGTCGAGATTTTCTGGGGCATAAAATCTCTGATCACGCCTTCCTTCGAAAGAGAAGCAAAGCCGGTCACCGGTTCATGAGTTTGATGGGTCGATAGATAGGGTCCAGGTATGGGAGCTGCCTCCCGGGCGTCGTTAGCATTGGTACTCAGTACGGAAAACAAGATCGAGAATGCACAAAACCACATACTGTCTTCAGAAAACCTTAACGTTTTGCTTTGTTCGTTTTTGTCTAGAACATTATTTGCTTGAAACAAGATTATATAAAAAGTTCATAATTAAAAACTAAATCTTAAGGGGTAACCATAGAAAACGGTCCAAATCTTCAAAACTATTAGACATAGAAAATTTTTATTTTGAACAAAGTTTTATATTTTGAGAAGTTCTACAAAACTTACACAAGGAAATATCGTTCTATATCTTTAGGTTTACCATTTTTCTCATAGTAGGCCATGATATTTTTTTGAACCTATAGAGCTGTGGGCGATACTTATGTGAACTATTTTTCTGGAGACACTTTTTTTTATTAACACAATTCAATTAAGTTCGACCGCTGTGCACAGTGCTCGAACGGTTACAAATTGAGACCTGATTAATTTCCAAAATTTGAACTCATTTATAGTTAGAAACTGGGATTGAATCCAGGCCTGCTGGGGTGAGAAATAATCACGCTTATTTACCACAACACCACAGGCACCGCTCAAACCATTTGATGATTATATAGATATTACTGTGAGATTTTTTTTTTTTTTGGTCATGGTTAGAAAGCAAAACATACTTTGAGTAAACTTAAGTCACTACACATGAAAAGTAAAATTCGTGGTTCGTGGCATAAACAAATGTATTCATCCTTCGGCATGAGGTCATGGTCAAGTCCTCGATGAAAAGAAGAAATCAACCGAAAAAAAGGAATATAGGAACTGGTAAATTACTCACCAATTTCGCAAATCGAACGCATCCGAAAGTCTTCGCTTATGTAGCAGTAGAAGCATTGAAGTTGAACAGCAAGTACACCTGGTTGAAGCTAGCTGACATAAAACGGATTGGATCTTCGGAACGCATCTTTGCCCTTGTTTCGCTTTACGCCTTGTTGATAGTGACAAGACTCAGTTACATCCACCGAGGATAATTTTGAAACAAGGAAAAATAAGGGTAAGTCTTCTAAATGATTCCTAATTTTCAATCGGTATCATTGCTTTATTTTGTTGCCAAGTAATCCAATGTTGAGTGACAAAATGGCATGCCTTTGGAGGGTGCCCTCACTCTTCTAGAGGTACCAATAATGAAACATTTGTTTAGTGCATTTGCTTATTTGCAATACAACGCTGAATACTTCATTATTTCCCAATAGTGATGGGCTAATACGACATGCGCTAAACTACCCGAGCAGAAAATAACTTATGACTGCCCGACCTGATACTAAAATTTGGTGTTGATCAGCCTGACATAAGAGAAATACAAAAGAGTGAAACCAAAAAATTGCATGCAAAATACTGTGTAAAAACCAAAAAATATATATTTGGATACCATAAGAATACCTGTGTGGTATTGCATTTGCATAATTTGGTATTGGAATGGTATTGTGGAAATATTTTTATTTTTTTATGTTTAGGTATTCTACCTCGTTTGTCAGGCTAATCCATACCAATTTAAGGTATAGAAATATTCATTCCTGCTCAAAAAAAAAGACACGTGGTATAGATCAAATTATTGATCGCAGCGGATATATGTCCCGAACAGAGAAAATAAACTAATTGCAAAAGATAGTTTCAAAATAAATTTTAAAGAGAGTTGACCTTTTTTTTAAATAATCGAACACTACAATGCTGGTGCGTTGATGCATCACTCAACAAAGCCGCTTATCAAAACGTTGTAAATATCTCAAATCTGAAACTCTAATTCTATTTTAATAGGCAATTTAATGCACTTTCCAAATCTGTCAATAATATTCAGTGGTTACTTTTCATTTCTTTTTCAGTTACAGCACAAAAACTAAAAAAAGGTAAGTCAAAACCGTGTAACGCCACGAAAGAATGTGTCTCATGAGATAGCCCACCACTGATTATTTTCACATTCGCCATCCTTAGGGCATATTTTGGTACAAGGAAAAGTGTCAGGGTGTTGAAGAAGAGCGAGAATAGTTTACAAAATGGGGGTTGACGAAATCGGGAAAGCACTATATTGTCACGTGACAGTAAGTCATAAGAAAATCGTTTAATCCTTGGTTATACCTTGGGGTCAATTAAATCCCAGAGACCTTGAATAAGCTAGAACTTATTTAATTGGCAATGAATTTGTCTAATTCTTTCGTGATTAGGTGTGTTCTTTTGAATTTCGTTTTACTAGACGAAATCTGCTGCAAAATACTTGAAAAATTATGTATTGCATCAATTATTTTTAAAAACAACTGAATCGAAATTTTAATGTATTCTACAAATCTAAATCATGATTTACAAAACCCTCAAAAACCCAAATTGTTACTTGTGTAGGGTCAATTTGACCTCAAGTAAAATTGCCGTATCTCAGCGACATTTCAATAGATTTTCAAAATTTGAAATGCTTTGCAAATTATAAAGAGAGAGAGAGAGGGATTTGTAATTTCCATTTAATTCCACTACCTTATTTGCTTATTCTTGACAGATACGCGTATTTCGTCTACAATTTGCAGACTTCTTCAGTGTCTTGTACTAATACTCGACTCGAATAGTCGAGAATTAGTACAAGACACTGAAGAAGTCTGCACATTGTAGACGAAATACGCATATCTGTCAAGGATAAGCAAATAAGGAAGTGGAAGTAAATAGAAATTACTAATCCTTCTAAAATTTGTATACTGTATTCCTACACTAAAATCTGTAGTAGTTTCATAGCTTTAACATTTAAAGTAAATTGTTACAGCTACGTTGGTTTCGCGCTATAACGGTTTAAACATTGTAAAGTTTCACTTAAGGTGGATTGGCAAGTCATGCTTTTATGGCAGTGATCGCAAACATTATATTATGGAATGTGAGCTAAAGACATCTTCGGACCCTTCAGAGACAAACCAGCCCAAGGCTAAAAGTCTCTTTAATAAAGAAAAAAAAAATCTTCGGAACAAAATAGAAAATTATTAATCATAACATACCTTAAAAGATGTGTCAAAAACAGGGCTAACGACGTAATCATTGTTTATGGCAGCATCAATGTCTGCAATGGAATTTTGCATTTGCTGGAGCCTCAGATAGCTATGTCAATTACCCAAGTAACCATCAGGTATTTTTTTTTTCTTTATTAATGAGACTTTCAGCCTTGGGCTGGTTCGTCTCTGCTCCATCAGGTACTTATAGGCTGCATATTTTCAGCGTTACATGCGCGTATAATTTCGTTCATTTACAGCCGACCAAATTAAAAAAAAAAATCAAGTTCCGGTATTAGTCCGAAAAAAAGCGAAATAATTTGTTTGAAATAGATTTTGAGAATGCTTTGTTTCACCGACAGTTTGGTTTATTTCGATTTTTTTATGTTGTTGATTTTAAGATTAAAGCAGAGGACCAGAGTTTAGTGATTATTTTTGAACGCCTTAGCTGAATGCCCCAACTGAGACCGCTGGCTACGATTGAAATAAATTATATTAAAGAATATTTTTATGTTGTTTACTTTTTGACATTCAGATACATGGAATTCTTCAATGCACAACGTGTAAATATTTACATCATTGACAATGCTCAGGTAAACATGACATTTTGGTCCTTCAAAACAACCAACTACGTCAGGTTCTGTCATCATTAAAAAACGTAAATATTTACGCTGTGTGCAGTGAAGAATGGGAACGATGTGATGAAGGCTGTTCCAAAATGGGGAAAAATCGTATAACAGGTCTAATCGCACTTGAGTTGCAAGCCGCGGAATTGATCTAAACAATATAAAGAAGGATAACAACGAACACGACGACCTTGTGCTGATAAATTCTTCTTCCGGCAAACCACAAAACTCCTACGGCGACGTTGGCGAGTTGTCGAGTCCAAATCATTCAGATCCTCCGGGGCTCCGTTAGCGTTAAACTTTTATTCACCCATTCGAAAGAAATTTCCTAGACGGCCCTCTTGTTGGAAATAGAGCTGATCTGTTCTTGGTCTTCTTCTCCTTCTACCGGTGAAGAATATTCTGCAATTGTTTATAACACATAGAAAAGAATGTACCCAACTTAAAATGGCAGATTACAGCACCAACTCGGCATTTCATAAAGTTTACTAGCAATAAACGTTCTCTGACTTCTAAACCTTTAGTAGGGGAATTTACGTATTCTCGTCAATCTAAGCAGCGTCTGCACTTCTACTAGCATTTTCTCAGCGTCACGCACATATATGATGTGTCTGTTGTAAACATTCATCTGCTGCTTGCTTCTCTATCCATTCCAATCGACAGAATTTTTCAAAACGTTTTGAAAGCGTTTTTACAACGCTCCAAACTTCTCAGGTGAGTGTGACTATTGTCGGCAGCCTCTTTTTCTTCGGCAACCTTCCCATTAGAACTGCGTGTTAACCAGCTGTTCTATTATCGGCAACTCGAAATCAACCCCATTTTGTAGTGCGTATGCTTTATTTGAAGAAAAATGTATTGCTCGATCGTTCAAATATAATCAGATTGAAGCTGAAAGACTAAACAATCGTTTGGACACATTCAGGGAAGTGCGTTGATGGGAAAACATAGTGAAATTAACGTTTAAATTTAGGTTGCCGAAAACAGTCAATGGGTGCCGAAGCCAACATTTACCCTATATGTACTTGCGTTATATGTGATTATAGGACCAGAACAACTGCTGGACGGTACTTGATTAGTATAATGCTTGGTGGCATTTTTTACGCTGTTAAATTGCTTGCAAATCATATAATTACTGATCTGTGGTTTCCGGGTATAATGAATGCTTAATTGAGGTTGATGTACAGTTTATTTTTAATGCTTATGGTTACTTGGGTACGGCAAGATGTAACCAAGCCGGAAGCTAAGGCTTCAATTCCCGGTCCGGTCGAGGAAAACTTTCCTTTTTGAAATTTTCCCGTTTCCCTGAGCATAAAAGTATTATTGGGTTTTAATCTAATAGGGTTTTGAATCGGGTTTAAATAGGGGTTTGATCTTATTTCCGTCATACTAAGCACGTCCACACTTAGCCTCTAATTCGACCGAATATGACTTCTAATTTTATTTAACTTTTAAAATGTGGAGGATATTGAACACACTTTTCTCGAAATTCAGACCAGATCCAGAATCAAGATCAAGTTACAACATAGTTTCATTTATATGGAAAGCAATGTTTTGGTGACATTTTTGTCAGTTGTTTTTTAAGGTTTATATTTTTGAGAGCAGTTCTTAAATTTTCACTCCCTAAGATTCTGACAGTTTTAAATATTTTTGTTTTATATTTAACCAGAACATATACATTGTTACAGCTCAAAGCATCGAATAAGTAGAAAAAAAATAAAAAACCATCCACTTGATATTGGAATTTCATTTGGGGGAGGCTTGATCCCTAAGGATTAGACGCACTTAACCCTGAGCTATTAGTGTGAAGGAGTGCCGCAAAGGGCGTGAAGATTGTATGAAAAAAAACGCCAACATGTATGGGGGAATGAGGCACATTCACTTTTTGGCACTAGGATTTCTTGGTGCGAAAAATGAAGAGCTTTTGAGCTTGCTGAAGGCCAAATGTCAATCCGAATGAACCATGAATAGTTACTCGCGTTTGAATTCAATACCAGGCACCTTACTTATGGTGAGGGCCTAACGCGATATGCACGGTTTTCTTTTTGAACAGCATTGATCGAAATTTACACCGATATTTGAAAAATGTGCGGATTAATGATCTATTGAAACCGGCATAAGATTGGGCCAGTGGATCCGCGTAAGCACGACTGGTTCCTCTGCCCCTGCCGGATGACCTCACGAAACCTGGAATAGAATTGGAACCACGGGGCGAACCTTATTCTGCTTTCAATAGACCATTAACCAAATGTGTGCATTATTTTTCCATTATCTGTGTAAGGCTCGGCATATTTCAGGATTTAACTGAAAATTAAAACCCATACAAACATTCCTGTTCCTATTCCTGATCGAAAAGAAACCCGTGCATATCGCGTTTAGCCCTCACCATAAGTAAGATGGGTAGTGTTGAGTTCAAACGCTAACACCTATTCAGGGTTAACACGGATTGACATTTGGTTTTGAGCATAGATGTTCCCTACACACTTAGATTATTTTACCGAAATCTGTGAAATTTTACCGAAATCTCAACAGCTGAACACTCGGTAAACAGTTCGGTGATTTTTCACAGATCACCTGTAATTTTTCACCGAATATCTGTGAAAAATTACATGAAATCTGTCAAAAATCACCGAACTGTTTACCGAACGTTCAGCTGTTGACATTTCGGTAAAATTTCACAGATTTCGGTCAAATAATCTAAGTGTGTATATTCCATAGGTTCTAAATTTTTCATACCAAGAAAATCGAATACCTATAGTACCAACTAGAGGGAAACATGTGAAAGTGCCTCAACCCCCATCAACTTTAGAGGGGGGCACCTTTTCCCGCGAATCATATGGACTCAAATTTATTATACTCGAATTTTGTCCGAAATATTAGCTAATAAAAAAAATCGCAATAACAAAATTATTAAAAAAAAAAACTCCAACGACCACATTACAGAATCTGTTCACGTGGTAAAACTTTGCAAATTGTGTTATCTATTTATGCAAATCAGTAAAACAAACTTGCATTTGCCGATTGGGCGTATCTAAAAGAGCCGCTATTTACCAAGTGGGTGTATCAAAAAGTCCGGTTATCCTGGAAAAGTTAGTACTAAGTATATATCATCACCTAAATGAAAAACACGTGTATTATACGTCATAGATTAATTAATTATTATCAATATAACACTCACCATAGCCCAACCATGGGTGTTCACTTTTCTACTTTCTCGTTCCATTCCGACCCGCGATTGCATCACCCTCTCACAAACAGCAGTGGCAGCATTCGAGCCCGATTTTGTATACCCGCTGGAAAATGTTACGGTAGCAAAAGGTTCGTATCAAACCCATCCGTTCACTGCTAATTCACATCTAAGAGCCAAATAAATCTCGAAAAACTTTGCTATTACTCAAATTCCATTTCCCTATATACTTTATTCTCTTGGATAGGACGTGACGCGACGTTCACGTGTGTCGTGAATAACCTCGGTGGTTATAGGGTGAGTGGGGATTCAACTTCAGCTAGGGTATGTATCGGTTCTATCAATATAGTATAAATTCTTCCTTGATTTTGTGGTCGAAAACACACCGTTTCCCTCGTGTTTGCACTTCTTCGCACCTTCGCACACACCTGGCACCTGGCACTGTTACTTGCACCTGTGCACCAAAATCCCACTTAGAAAATGCACCAGAGCACCAAATCAGACTAAAGTGATGTAGCACAACGTTCACGCAAGTATTTCGTTCGCAAATTTAAAAAAAAAATCATTACTCACCCACGAGGTCAGTGATGCAGCGAGTATTACCTCTGAACCACTGACCAGATTCAACGGCACCATGTTCTATTTTGCACCTACTGTTACTATCTAGATTAGAACCAGCACCAGTGAAGTTTATATGAGATCACAACCACAGTCAGTTTAGAGATGCACCGTAGATGTAACAAACACCGAAATGTAATAATATCACAGCTCCACCTATTTTGCCTTATGTTTTAAAGCGCACAGTACTTAGTTTGAACTGCACCAACCAGAACACCAGCACTGTTTAATATCCATTGGCAGAATACCCAAATAAAACTGTCGGCATATCCACAAATCAAAAAGAGATTATGCTGTATTGTGTATTGAACAATCCAAGAGTCCCTCTAAAGTAGATTTATAGTTTAGTGTATGCACTGCGTGACTGAAACGACATTTTAACGCCTACAAAAAAAAACTTGTAAAAGACAACTTATTTTCCTTATTACTTTTTAAAATGTTTCGTATCAGTCACGTTTGTTTTCAAATCACATATCTTAAGTAGCACTTTCTGTTTTCAAACTGTTGCTCAAACAAATCAGTTGATATGTTAAAGAAGTAATAATCACAAAACCCAACCCATTAGATTTAATTGATTGAATCATTATTTTGAACTCATATTGTCATGCAACGCCTACAAAGGAATCAAATATTAATTTAGTGACAAATATCGTGAGCGTAAAAATAGATTTGAGCAACAAATGAACAGAGGTTTTAATTTTTCAATCATCGTCCTATACCGTTGGCCTACACACATCAGCTCCCCTGCCTTCTGTACTCATTTTATCGAACAAACATAAGCCCAAGTCCGTTAAAATTGCACCACTATAAATCAGCCTTCCCCGTTCTGCCAGTCAGTCGGCAATTCCTGCGACCCTCCAAGGATCCGAATATGTATACGCATATTTCCTTCCAACTCTCAAACCTCCCCATAACAGCTACCATCCTCTGAAAACAAAAACTCACGTTTGTAGTTTCTGTTTGTTGTGCCACTAGTCGTAATTTTGTTTGTAGACACAGAAAGCATAAATAAATCCACTAATAAAATGTATAATTCACTGCACTTTAGCACCGCACAGCACCTTTTGCACATCGCTTATCTCCAAACTCCTTCCGACCTCCACCATATCCTTTTTCATCCTACCGTCTCTAATTTCCCATTTAATATCAATATTGAATCAACTTCCATTCGCAATAACCCGCACTTGCGGGTCACACTCCTGTGTATTCCCCAGCTGTGTTTATCCACGCAAACCAGCGACTGTGGAAATTTATCACTTTGCGAGACTATTTTTGCAAATTTAAACTCATATTCGCTTTCCATTCCACGAAACCACCACCGTTCGGGACGTTATAAACGCAACCAAACCAGGTTGCATGGATCAAGGCGGATGCTAAAGCGATCCTCGCAATTCACGAACACGTGATCACCAACAACGGGCGGCTGTCAGTTACGCACAATGACTACAACACCTGGACGCTGGTGATACGAAACGTCAAGATGGAGGACCGAGGACTGTACATGTGTCAGGTCAACACCGACCCGATGAAAATGCAGGTCAGTAACATTTCTTTCTGCTAGTTTTTGACCAATGATCAATAGGGTGGTTTAAAATATCTTTTTTGCTTCACCACACACCACAAAATTCTGAATTTTAACTGTCGCGTAAAATCTCCCCGCGTTTAATTTTGTTAATTTATTTATTTATTTCGTCAAGCAAAGTAGGCTACATACAATGTTTACAATAAGCTATAGTTGGCATAAACATCGAAATTATTAACAAGCTTACATACAATTTTGCAGATTTATGCGATATTGTGCTAATATTTACACGCCAAATATAGCGTTAGTAACATGTGTGCCATATATCACAGAAATTTACATGAATTTTTTATATGGTGCAAGTTCAATCGATTTCAAAGCAGGTCCTGTACCAAAATTTTAGCTCATTTTGGATGCTAACTCATATTGCACTGTCCATTTGAAATTTATATGGGGATTACTATGGGAAATATGAACTTTTTGTTCTCATTCTACTAGCCCATCGCACCGATGATCTACGAAAAAGTTTGCTATAGGTGCTAATAGGAAATTTTCCCAGTGATTAACTTATTACGTTTTTTCTGACATGCCCCATCAACTGCTCAGCAGACAACATTGGTGTGCTTGACGCGAAGAATAGGACCAAAATTTCAGGCTACTATATCACAAGTGCAAGATGCAGTGTTGCCTTGAAAACAATTAATAATTATTGAACTGGAAGTTTAATTGTTTTCAAGCAAAGTTGTTCATGATAAAATTTCACACAAGAACAGATAGCAGGAGGCGAAGGGCTAGGACATTCTGAGCAAAAATCTCAGTTTTCCGATAGTAATTACAGGTAATTACCATATTCAATTCAAAGGGCTAGCGCAGTATGAGTTCGCATCAAAATAAACTTAAATTTTGGGAGAATTATCAGGGCATGAATCTTTAGAATCTATTGAGCTTGTTGAAGCGAAATCTATATTGTCACCCTAATGATCATATTGGTTTTTGAAGGGTGTCTGATTATAATCCTCTCAGGCTAGATAATGTTGTCATACGACACAAACTGCACAAATAATAATCATATGAGTGTACTTAAACATACTATAATTACATTGGAATCAGAATAAGCAGAGATTCATGTCTTCACATTGTTCGTGAAATTTTAATCAATGACTGCAAGAGATATTTCGAGTAATTATTCTTACGATCTGTAAGGTTTCCAGTTCTTAGCAACGATTTCTATATATTTCATCCTACGGATTCAAGATTCAAGTTAGAACGAGATTGGTTTTGTCATTCCAACCAGGATTGTTAATCAATAACCGTCGATAACGACATCGTCAACGTCTGCAATGGTGAATTTGCATTGCAGGCGTTATCGGCAACCGGATCCGTAGGCTGCGTTGAATTAAAATATTATCGTTCTAACTTGATCTTGCCAAACAAAAAGTACTATGCAAATGTCATTATTATTTTTACTAAATTAGGAGTTCTTAGGTAATTCTAAAACATGTCTATGTTCATTCAATTCCGTACAATACTTCGATAACAGGTGTACCAAAAGGCAATAATAGCACTCGAAAAACACATTTTCGATCTATAACCTAGAAAGTCAAGTTTCAGCTCGATGAGATCGTAAAATATCTGCCTGGTTCTATTTTGTTTATATTCATCTTCCATTAAACCCTATTGAATTTCATATCGATCTGACATTCGGGTCCAGACGTATGTCCAAAAAAGTGAAATTTTGCAATAAAACACTTTTATCTGCGGTGGCTGAACCGATTTGAACACAACCGATTCCATTTTGTTTGTATATATTTCCCATAAAACTCTATTGAATTCATTCCGAACGTTAGTTTTGGATATATGACTGAAAACCCTGATTAATCCACCTACCGGTGTCAAGTGCCTTTCTCGTGTATTGTTTAATAGCTGCTTCTTATTGTTCTATATAGACGAATCCAATAGAAACTAAGTGATCGTTTGAGCCTCTGGTGGTGAATATAGAAACGGCAGCCATAGTATGCAGTATTGCATACTATGCACCTGAGTGGTGCGAAGACGGACCTCAAAATCGAACCACTTTCGAGCTGTCAAATCAAACCACTTTTTTATCATTGTGGTTCGTTGAAATAGATAGAAGTATTGTTATCGTCCAAAATAAAAAATAAATATTTTTCAGTAATGTTTTTGATCTTTTTAAAAACGTGATTCGAAACGACTCAAACAATTAAAAATAACAGTATTATTGCGTATTTTGGACCAAAGTAGACTCCTGCGCTGAAAAAAACCCCTCCGATTTTTTTCGCTCAGGAACGACTGTGACTTCGGAGAACGTTCTAAGGAGATTTGTGATGATAGTACAAAAGTTCCAGGAAATTTCAACAGATTTTTCCCGCGACAGAAGAGGTTTCAGTGGATACTTTAGTTGCTGCCAGCGAGGTTCTACGGGGGTTCTATAGAGTTTTCATGTTCGAGTTTCACACGATTTGGAGGGAAGTCAAATCGTTGCCATTGGAGGTACCAGGGAATTGAGATCCACCTCACAGAAACTGAGCCACTCTTTTCGTACTGCTGAATCCTTGGGAAACCTGAATAGGCTTCGCTTTTCGTCGTGTCCATCTTTATAATTGCAAAAGTGAGCAAAACACTTCATTCTGAATTTTATTCCACTCCGTAAAAACTCCAGCTATGAACAATGTCAACAAACAATCACAAAGTCACGAATCGGCTCTGCACAAAAAGCCGTTTGACACTTCTCTCTACCAACCGACGGTGATGAAACGTTTATTTCAACACTACCAACATGAAGAAAATTTCACTTCGCACCACTCAGCTATGCACCATTAGAAATGATTCAACGATCCATAAAATATTGAACAATGCTCATAAAAAAACATCCAAATGATACATAAAACACGGGAGAAAATCCCTTAAAAAGTGTGGATGATCCATAACAATATTTATACGGTCCATATTTTATGTAAAATTTAACAACAAAATTGACAAAAATGTACCACTGAATTTTTAAAGAATGAGCATTCAAATTGTACGAATTTCCCATAAACATATCGTAAATGATCCATAAAACATTCAATAATGAACCTTAAACAAAAAAAAAGTGATCAATAGAAAATCGAGTTTGCGCTCCATAAATTAGAGGTATATTATTTATGTTTTGGACACTATTTTTTAAATTATGATCCATAAACCAAGAAACATTACGTATATTTTTTAAAGTTTTATGTATATCTTTAAAAATTTATATAACATGGGGCAGCAAGCTTGTTTTGACAGTTTGACGATTAAAGTTATTGTTTACAAAAGCATTTTGACTCTGTCGTCGGCTAAATTTTATATTTATTAATTCCCTTTCAGTTAGTGGTGGTCAATCGTTGGCTGTTATAACTGCGAAAGTAGTTACTGAATACCCACTGAAATTTAAAGTAGGAATATTCTGGGATTCAAAGTTGAATTATATGATGCAGATTTTATGGCCGTACAAGCTTTCATCGATGTCTTTATAAAGCTGTTGACTGACATAGTCAGAGCAACAAATATTGGTTTTGTGGATGAACACTTTGAACGGTCATTGATTTTAAAAGGTAATGAGCTCTTTTAAGAAATATTCATGCATTTGTCAGAAATAAAACTAAGCTCTTAGGTTTTACTGCAAATGATTCAATTGAAGTGGATAAAAAAAACAGTTCACAGTATGTGATAGCAGTGTGTTATTATTATAATTACATGAATAGGCATATTCAAATTGCAAAACGAAATGATTGCGACATTTAGCCGTTAATTTGTTCATTAGTATAAACGTTTTAACGTTAACGCGTTAAATTAGTTAACATGGTCATTAACGACATTATTTTTTTTGTTTACGGTGCAAACCCCCGCTTTCAACTGTTTCTGTAACACCCACCAAAACGAAACGGACCCCTTGCATGTGAGCAAAAATATCAAATTAACAAGATATTCCACTAATCAATTCCTCGACAAGGACCATCGTTATGTGATTGCAATGCTATCTGGTGAGTGCACATTGAAACTGAAACTTCACCACCAAGGCTCAATAACTGACATGTGATGAAGGTATCATCCTCGATGCACACAGAAAAAAAATTAACATCACATCAAGGTGGATGCACTTCAATCGTGTCGAAAATATGGTGTAATATTACTTGCCAAAAAAATAAAATTATCATTACTACAGTGCATGAACTGACATTACGCTGCTTTAATGCATTTGTTTATTTCTGTGGCCATACAAATTACATGAGATCTTTGACATGATGGAAGTGCATTCTCTTGGATGTAATATTGAAATTTATTTTTTGCTGTGCACCATCATTATATTGCAATAGCAAGATTCTATCTTTTTTGTGATTGCTCCGATTTTCAATTATTACCACTTTATACGTAAAAGAAACACTTGAGAAAACAATCAAGCATCCATGAAAACACGGAGCCATTCTCTTTATTATATTAGAAGAGTATCTATGTTTAAGTTAATTCACGTGAGAGCTGTCAATCAACTGTTTGTTGTTTTTTGTTCGTCGATAAAACTGCATTGTCGAGTTCAATCGAACTGACTTACATAATATCCCAAGTAACATTTTAAGTTTTATTAAATACTACAAAGCAACTATAAAACAACATTCATAAAACCCTGGTCAAGGCTATTTTGTAATTAATGCATCCACCAAAACCTCATTAAGATTAGAATATGGCTAGTTGGCCCACCCGGGAGAAAGTTCTGAAGGGTGTATTCTCGAAGCTCTTCAAGATTGATTTACTGCAAAAGGTTGTATGACGAACGCATTGAGAACCACTTGGAAGCTACAATAAAAGCTATTTAGCAACAATAAAAACCCTTTCCGAGCTATTTCCCCTAGCCACATGCTGAATCCACTAGGAAAGCATCATTCAAGATAGAAATGGATTTATGAATCCGATCTTATCAAAATAATTAAAATAGAAACTGATGGGATAAAAATCTTGTTGAATATCCAAATTTATCA